GTGCCAGTGGTGCTTGACAAGTACAGTGAAGGGAGTTTGCCATAATGAACAATGTAGTCATTGCATTTTACCCCTTGCAGTTCAAGCAGTCTCAAATGGCATTTGTTTGAAATAATGTGGGGATTTCTTTGAAATGTTTTGCCTTATGAGACTAGCACGTGACTAGCTGGCTGCTATATGTGAAATATGTGTGGTATTGGTTACGTATGTCACATGGTATTTTTTCTGTCCCCTGAATGGAGGATATATTTAACTCCCCAACATAGCATGCATTGTGAATTTTGCATGTTCTGATCCAGTGTATAATTCAAAGCAGATCATTTGAGGCTTGGAATGTAACGCATGTGCTTGAACGCTCATTGTCCCAGGCAGCAAACACACCATTCCCTCTCCAGTTCAAACATGGTCAGAAAATGTCCCCAGGTGCTCACTCTGACCTGGCTGGGAGACCCCTGCAGCTGCCCCCTGGCACTGTAGAAAAGCCAGCTCAGATGAGCCCTGGGAGGCTGACCTGCAAACAAGATTCCTCAGCTCATGACAATCCTGTCAAGCTCTCAAGGAGAAGCCACAAAGGTGGAAGGTCCTCTCCTCCCATTTCGTGTTAATACAGGGCCTTGTGCTTCATTCAGCCTCTGGAGACTTGGATCCCTTGGTTGAATTGATCAGACCCTCAGCATCCAAATAACTAGCATTGAAAAGTAAACACAACTCCCACGCTGTGGGAAATATTTAGTTGGGTCGCTCTAGGCAGGCAGTATTGCATAATACAATCACTGGCTCTACGATACTGATCGTTCACAAGGTCAGAATTCAGAGCAAGCTAGGAGAGCCTGTGAGAATCCCATGTGATGGGAGAGCAACTGAGAGTTGTGATGTTCAGACAGGCTAATGAGAAAGATTGTGAGATCTGAGATTCAGCCTCTTTTCCTTTGCTCAGTGTCCTCCTCAAATCAAATTGGTTCTGATTGCCTCCATTACTGGCTGTATTACATGCTGCCACTGCCTCTTGTCCGCTCCCACCCATCCTGGTGCTCTGAGCATCGCTGCTTCCTGGATTGTTCCCTCCCCACTGACTGCCCATGCTTTGGAGTCTGTCTTCCTAGATTGTTTGCTGTCTGGCTTTCTTTGTCCACGGCAGCATCAGCAACTCCTCTCAATTCTGTATTCTCTGGGCATGTTAGTGTACCATGACCCTTTTCCAGGTCATTAGTACAGCTGTCAAATAAAGCCAACACAATCTCCCTGGCAGCCTGTGCTGATGAGGAGAACACAAAGAATTGTGAAAACAAGCTGTCTGTGTTGTTTTCAGGCAGAAGGTCAGAAGAAGGGAGCTGGCTTAGGAACCCAAGGGAAGCCCAGCAAAAGGCAGTCCAATGAAACATACCGGGATGCTGTCAGGAGAGTCATGTTTGCCCGCTACAAGGAACTTGAGTGAATGAAGTGGAATCCCACAAAACCCAACCCTCTCTCTTTCTGTGTCATGGTCTCTCTTTGTTTTCAAATTGTTACTGGTTTTGCTGCTAGAATTTTTTTTTAAATAAAATGGAAAATTTGTCAGTGCTGTTTCCTTATCTCGTTCCCCAAAGTCTCTGCTTTAAAAACAAACCTCACTTTGGAACCTTCCCAAGACTTCTCCGGCCGATGACTCCTCATCTCTCCTGGGGCTCGTGCTGCCCTTTGGGTGACTGGCGCAGGACTAGAGTGGCAGAGATGGGCCTAAGTCTCAGTGATACTTCCAGAATGTTGCACACGTGATTTTTTCGCCAGCTCTGCAGACGCAGAGTCACTGTCCTGCAGCAAGAGGAAGTCTATTTAAGCCTCTGGAAACTCCTCCATTTTGTATTGAGCTGGCTTAAAAGATAGCGTCTCCACCCCCAAAGGATACCTGAAAAACTGGAACAAAGAACAATAACCACGGGGGTGTGAGTGATTGCTGGACCCAAACTAGAAGGAGACTAGTCTGTAAAAGAAGCTTACTAGAACATCTCCGAGGGTGAGATTTCATCTGTAATCACTTTCTTACTGAATTAGGCATAGACTTCCATGTTTTATTTTATTTTGTTTGGTAATTTACTTTGTTCTGTCTGTTATTACTTGGAACCACTTAAATCCTACTTTTTATAGTTAATAAAATCACTTTTTACTTATTAACCCAGAGTATGTATTAATGGCGGGGGGGACAGCTTTGCATATCTCTCCATCAGTGTTATAGAAGGCAAACAATGTATGAGTTTACCCTGTATACGCTTTATACAGGGTAAAACGGATTTATTTGGGGTTTGGACCCCATTGGGAGCTGGGCATCTGAGTGTTAGAGACAGGAACACTTCTTAAGCTGTTTTCAGTTAAGCCTGCAGCTGTTGGGGGATGTGGTTCAGACCTGGGTCTGGGTTTGTAATAGGCTAGAGTGTTTGGCTCAAACAAGGCAAGGTTCTGGAGTCCCAAGCTGGCAGGAAAAATGGCTTAGAGGTAGTCCCAGCACATCAGTTGGCAGTTCCCAAGGGGTTTTCTGTGATCCAACCCATCACAGGCGTTTCTTCCTTCCTCCCTGCATGGGCGTCTATAATATTGGACCAATGGGTCCTCAGTATGGTGGCACAGAGTTACACCTTTCAGTTACTTTCTCCCCCCCCCCCCTTCACGCACACCCTCCCCGTCTCTCTTCCTTGTAACGAGTTGGATCACAGAAACCCCCTTGGGGCTGCCAACTGATGTGCCAAGACTGCCCCTGCCTTCCCTGCCAGCTTGGGACCCCAGAACCTTGCCTGGTTGTGCCAGACATGCTTGCCGGCTACAAACACAGACCCAGGTCTGAACCACATCCCACAAGCTGCAGGCTTAACCGAAAGCAGCGTAAGAAGTGTTCCTGTCTCTAACACTCAGATGCCCAACTCCTAATGGGGTCCAAACCACAAATAAATCTGTTTTACCCTGTATAAAGTGTATACAGGGTAAACTCATAAATTGTTTGCCTTCTATAACACTGACAGAGAGATATGCACAGCTGTTTTCCCGCCCCCGGTATTAATACATACTCTGGGTTAATAAGTAAAAAGTGATTTTATTAAATACAAAAAGTAGGATTTAAGTGGTTCCAAGTGATAACATACAGAACAAAGTGAATTACCAAGAAAAATAAAATAAAACATGCAAGCCTATGCCTAATACAGTAAGAAGCTGAATACAGCTAAAATCTCACCCTCAAAGAAGTTCCAATAAGCCTCCTTTACAGACTAGCCTCCTTCTAGTCTGGGTCCCGTAATCACTCACACCCCCTGCAGTTACTGTCCTTTGTCCCAGTTTCTTTTTGGAGTCATATGGGCAAGTCACATGTCCATGCATGACTGAGTTCCTTACCAGCCAAGCCACATGCCTGGGAAAGCTCAGATGTGGACTGGTGTCTCCAAGTTCATTGTTGGCTTAATGACAGGTTTCAGAGTAACAGCCGTGTTAGTCTGTATTCGCAAAAAGAAAAGGAGTACTTGTGGCACCTTAGAGACTAACCAATTTATTTGAGCATGTAGCTCACAAAAGCTCATGCTCAAATAAATTGGTTAGTCTCTAAGGTGCCACAAGTACTCCTTTTCTTATTGTTGGCTTAAGTGTTTCTTGATTGGGCACTTACTGAGAATAGTCTCTTCTCAGGAAGCTAACCAACTGCTTCACTGAGGCTATTTAAAATTAAACAAGTACATAGCCAAATATTAATAACTTTGAATACAAAAATGATACATGCATACAAATAGGAGGAATATATTCAGTAGATCATAACCTTTGCAGAGATATGTTACATGGCATATGAAGCATAAAACATATTCCAGTCATGACATATTTACATTCGTAAGCATATTTCCATAAAGCATTATGGGGTGCAATGTCACACCTCTCATGAGAATCTTCTCGTACAGGAGGTGGAGGGTCTACTACAGCTGGGTGTGGTGGAAGTAGTTCCTGTGGAGTCCAGGAACAAGGGGTTCTATTCCTGATACTTTTTAATCACCAAAGACAAGGGCAGTCTGCAGCCCATAGTAGACCTGCGGGGCTTGAACTGTTACTTAGGGCATGGCTACACTTGTGAGTTAGAGCGCATTAAAGCAGCCCAGTGCACTCTAACTCACGACGCATCCACACGGGCAAGGCACGTAGAGCGCTCTGACTCTGTGGCTAGAGCGCTCCTGGTACTTCACCTCGGCGAGTGGAATAACGTTTGATGCGCCCCCACTGGAGCGCCACGGCACCTGTGTGGACACCCTGGTCCTATAGTGCGCTCTGATCGGCCTCCAGAAGTGTCCCACAATGCCTATTCTAGCCACTCTGGTCATCACTTTGAACTCTACTGCCCTGTCCTCAAGTGACCAACTGTCAGACCCACCCTTTAAATTCTCTGGGAATTTTGAAAATCCCCTTCCTGTTTGCTCAGCCAGGTGTGGAGTGCTCTCAGCGAATCTTTCCAGGTGACCATGCCTCTACGCTCCAGGCGATCCCCAGTATGGAGCAATGGCGAGGTGCTGGACCTCATCAGTGTTTGGTGGGAGGAAGCTGTCCAGTCCCAGCTGCACTCCAGCCCTAGGAATTACGATACCTTTGGGCAGATATCAAGGGATATGATGGAAAGGGGCCATGACTGGGATGCTCTGCAGTGCAGGATTAAAGTGAAGGAGCTGCGGAATGCCTACCGCAAAGCCCGCGAGGCAAACAGCCACTCCGGTGCTGCCCCCGCAACCTGCCATTTTTACAAAGAGCTAGATGCAGCCCCACCTCCACTCCGAGTACCACCATGGACACTTCAGAGCACAGTTCTACAAGGCAGGAGGAGGAGCAGCAAAGTGGGAGCGAGGGTGCTGACGAGGAGGAAGACATGCCCGGAGCTGTTCTCAAGCCAGGAGGAAGGTAGCCAGTCGCGGCGGCCGGTGCTTGGGGAAGGACAAACACCAGAGGAGGATCCCTGTAAGCAGCTTTTATTTTGGGAAGGAAGTTATTCGGTGTGGGCTCTTGGGGCGAGGAGGGTTAGGGCTGCATGCGTGCCTAGATGCAGAATAGGGCGTTGATGTGCTCTCTCACATCGCGGTAATCGGCCTCAGTGATCTCTTCAAAGGTCTCATCCAGAACTTGGGCAATGCACTTGCGCAGGTTTCGTGGGAGAGCCACCGTGGTCCTTGTCCCAGTCAGGCTAACATGTCTGCGCCACTGTGCTTTGAGGGGTGGGGGGACCATTGCTGCACACAGGCAAGCTGCATATGGGCCAGGGTGGAAGCCGCATTGCAGTAGAAGACCCTCCCTTGCTTCCCAGGTCACCCTCAGCAGCAAGATATCTTCCAGGATGAACTCCTGTGGAAAATGTGGGGGACAGTGTTCAGTATAGGGGCCCCCTGCCGCTGTTGGCTCTCCCCAAGGCACAGAAACCCAGAGGACAGTACAGCCATGAAAGAATCAGTCCCCCTTGATGCTGTGCTTACTCACCATTTTGGGGCTCCCGTGGGTTATGTGCACTTGCTTTGGGACGGGCAAATTATGCTATTGTGTAGACTGTGCTTGCCCTTAAATACGGGGGAATGATTGCTCTGTCTGATGTGAACAATGCTGCCTCTGTTAAGTGTTGCATTTTGCCTTTACAGATGCAACCTTAAGATCTCAGCTGTCCATGTTATCACCGGCTGAGAGGCTGCAAAGAATCAGGAAGAGGCCATGTAGAAGCAAAGAGGACATGCTCCATGAAGTCATGCAGCACTCCCTTAATGAAAATCAAAAAGTGCAGGAGTGGCAGGAGAGTGAAAGGAGGGTCCGCCAGCAGAATGCGGATCACCGGCACGAAAACCCAGAGAGGCTGATAAGCATTATGGAGCGCCAAGCGGACTCGATCCAGACGATCGTAGCCATGCAGGCGGAGCACTACCTCGTGCGCCCGCCCGCCCCCCCTTCCCTCCTGCAGCCCTTGTCCCAAAACTCTTTACCTTGTGCCTCCATGTCACCTCCAACCCACTTTCCCCAATCTCCAGGTTCTTATCAGCACCAGCTGCCTCCAACACCTGAAGATTCACCACCCAGCCCTGAAAACTACAACCCTTACCCACTGCAGTCGACCCCCATCACCATGCAGTATAGCCATCCTAAAATGCAGCACTCATTGCACAGCACTCCAAACAGGAAGGCTGAATATGATAACAGGACACTTGCAAACCTGTGATTGTACCATCCCCTACCCCAACCCATTGCCCTTTGTGTTTCCCAAGCAGTTGTGTTTCTTTTCAATAAATGCATTTTCTTTTCATTAAATGGATTTTTTTGCTTTGAAAACATTCTTTATTATTGCCTAACATAAAAGCTACCTTAGCCCAGGAAAGCAACAGGCACTGCAAGTCAGTGTATCGTATATAGCAAACACAGATTCCTATGAACATTGGAACCACTGCAATTCACTCCCGTGCACGGCACCAGACATTACTGGTGGCTTTCAGCCTCAAATTGCTCCCTCAAGGCATCCCTAATCCTTGCAGCCCCCACTGGGCCCCTCTAATAGCCCTGCTCTCTGGCTGTTCAAATTCAGCCTCCAGGTGTTGAACCTCCGAGTTCCATGCCTGAGTGAATCGTTCACCTTTCCCTTCACAAATGTAATGGAGGGTACAGCACGCGGATATAACAACGGGGATGCTGTTATCGGCCAGGTCCAGCTTCCCATACAGAGAGCGCCAGGGACCCTTTAAATGGCCAAAAGCTCACTCCACAGTCATTCTATAGGGGCTCAGCCTGTTGTTGAACCGCTCCTTGCTACTGTCAAGGCTCCCTGTGTAGGGTTTCATGAGCCACGGCATTAAAGAGTAAGCGGGGTCTGACAAGCTACTACATTGTCTCTTCCGGTACAGTATTTTTTGTTCTCCCTGCAGCTTCCTAGGTTTTTTGGGGGAGGGGAGTAGCCAAAGAGGATTTGCTGGTATGAAATCTATAGGCTCTGCAGGTTTTATTATCTAGCTCCCATACAGCTGAATCTAAGCAGCCTACAGCGATTTCTCCCTGGGGGAGACAGGAAGCCAGGCTTATTTCCAGCGTTTTTTCCTAACTCCGTCCCCCAATCCATGGTTGCCAATGACACTGCACACGTCCCCCCACCCCCGCTGCTCCTCTGCACGGCACTGACTGTTCTCGGGGTGCCCAGGAACTCGGGGTGCAGCTAGCTGCGTATTTTCCTTTATGGGGTGTGCCAGCCTGCTGGAAGGAGCATAGGCTGCTGCAGTGGTTTCTCTGCTCTATGTACGTGCACAGAAAGGGAGGGGCTGCTGTATGTTCTCGCCCTCCGGGGGAAGGCACTGCCCCACTCTGCAGGTACCGACTGGTGGGGCTCACAAGCTGGTATGGGCACAGCACTGGGGAAGGAGGGGGCACACAGCCCCCCGCCCGCACCTGAGGGCCGATGCATATCTCCCCCCAACACGTCCCTTCTGCGGCTCTGGTGGTGCGTTTCCTGCCCCCTGCAGTGCAGTACTGGCGCTGACCGGCACACAGACACCAGAAGGTTCCCGGCATGCAATGCTCCGCCCCGCCGCACTGCAGGCTGGGACCTGTAGTCTCTCCTCTGCCTTCGTGGCACAGGGGCTGTTGCCAGCTCCCTTGTGCGCAGCTCGGGCAATAGGCGCGGCCGCTGGCAGGCGGCTCCCAGGGTGAAGAGCCCCGTGCCTTGGCCTCAGGCCCCACTATAGCTCGCCACCGCCTTGGGGCCAGGCCCTGGCGCAAGGAGGAGCAAAAGGCCACGTTGTTGGGCCCTTGCCACCGGGCAGCGAGCTCTGGGTAGGGCTAAGCATGCCAGGGTAGGCGAGTTGCTAACACAGCTGCGGTCTTGTCCGCTTTGCTGCTCCGCGAACTGTGCCTGACCGCGGCGGGTTACTGAGAGCCCGCCCCAGGATCGAGCTCACACCAGGCTGCAGTTTCCTGGCCTCTCCCCTCGACTGTTGCTCTCGCAGTGCCCCAACCCAGTGTCGCGGGTGGCCCTTACCCCGCGAGCTCCGGCCTTGCCCAGGCTTTGTGTGTAATGGAAGAGGGGCTGGGCTAAAGCAATATATTTAAATCCATAACTGATGCGCCAAGCCGGAAGTGCCCGGCTGTGATCAGCCAAGCCCGGGGCTCGGACCCGGCACAAATCAAGCACTGGGTGGGCTGACCCCACTGGCCTCCCCAGCCTTCCGGGGCGCCTCATGTGCTGTTGGTGGCCATCCAGTGGCCAGCCCCGTACGGGTTGGTGGTATGGGGCAGGAGGGGACCCAGGGAGCTCGGTAGGGGGGAGCGAGATCCTGGGGGACAGGCTAAGGGCCGCCGCCTCTTTGGGCTCGGTTGCGAACGGGTCTCCCCTCCAGCAGCAACTCTGGGATAGGGCCAGGCTTCCAGCCGCCGGCACTACAGTTCCCGGCATGCCGTGCGGCTGAGGGGGATTGCGCCCGCGTAGCTGCTGGAAGCTTCCAGGCGGCCGGCGCGGTGCATTGTGGGCAGGAGACGGTGAGCTTCCTGGGCGCCATTTTACGGAGCGGCAGAGAAGGGTCGGCAGAGCTTGCGAGTCGGTAAGTGCGGGTAGCCCGGCCTTGAGAGCCCCCCATCACCTCACTGTCTGGTAGGGGCTCCCCCCTCCCCGGCCAGCGCTGGCCCTGACCCGCGCGTTTGCGGAGCTCCTCCGCCCCCAGTCCCCGCGCGCTGGTCCATAGCACCTCCCTCGGCCCTTGTCCCGCGCGCTCCCGGGTTCCGTAGGTCTCGCGCGCCGCTCCTGAGCGCCCTCCATGCGCGCTCCCGTGCGCGCGGTCTGACACCATTTCTTCTTTGTCCCTTAGGCTGATCGTCCGTGTGTCGGGCTGGGAGGCTAACTGGCCGTGGGACCATGGGCTCCGATAAACGGTAGGTAGCGTCCTCCTCGCGGGAGAGCGATCGGTGGTGCCCGATGAGCTCCCCCTCTCGGCCCTGAACGTAGGGCCGCGGAGGGCAGGCACTGGGAGTCCGCCGCCGAGCAGCCGCCCAGGCCGCTGGCAGCTCCCCGAGCCGGGCCCATCCCCGAGAGCGCGCCGATGGCTGAATGAGATCTAAATCCGCTAGTTTATGGGGAACACCCTTCTGCTCTCTTTAGGGCTTAAGCAGGACTTATTCTCACGCCAATACGTAGGGAAATGCACTTGTTATAGGGCAAAAAGAAAAGGAGTACTTGTGGCACCTTAGAGACTAACCAATTTATTTGAGCATGAGCTTTCGTGAGCTACAGCTCACTTCATAAATAAATTATAAATAATTAAATTGGTTAGTCTCTAAGGTGCCACAAGTACTCCTTTTCTTTTTGCGAATACAGACTAACACGGCTGTTCCTCTGAAACCTGTTGTTATAGGGCAGTGTTCCTCAGCATCCCGGGATTCACGAGAGGGGCAGGTCACAAGCCAGTGAGAATTTTATTAGAATCTAAAGCAAAGAAGATTGCTCCCTCAAAAGGAGAGAAGCCTGTTAACAGAACTACGTGTTAAATTGGTACTAGTTTGGCATTGGGTTCTTCTATATGGGCTATTAGGAGGGAAGTCTCTAGCGGCATTTAAAAAAAAGCTAGCTACTGGTGCTGGAGAGGGTGTGACTATAGTAATCTTTATGTGCGGTGGGGTTCTAGAGGAGCACATTATGGGGCAGGGTTAGTGGTGAATACAGCTCAATAACTGGATCTAGTAGTCTTAAAGAACCATTAGGGTGTCTTAAGTTTTCAAATCAGTAAGACCTTTTGAGAATACTCTTAGTAGCAGCTTTGATTAATTAGGAATTGGAAAAAGAAAACACCTTCCACTTAGTATAATAGTTTAGCCATTACTGCTTAAAATGTCAGATGATGTGGACCCTCCACATTCCTTGTACATGTGGGTTGGAGGAAAACAGTTCTGGAGAAGCAATCAGTGCCACCAAAATAATTGAAATCACTCACTGGCAGTGAACTTGCTTTTCTCTCTGAAGGAAGTAATAAAAATAGTATCAACTCTTGTATTTGAAAAGTAGTCTCCAGTTGATGTGACTGGTTTATATCCAGTTATCACATTTTAACCTGATAAATATTTTTCTACTAAAAACCTTAACGTGAATGTATTTTTGGATTTCGGATCTCTCATCTGAGCGATGTTTTGTACCTGTTTTATTGAGGCTTGGTGACCTATACAAAATTGTTTATCTAAAAGAGTTTATTAGAAAAATAGCAAAAGGTTATCAGGGTTGTTATCAGAGGTGTTTGGAAGAGACCTGTTAGGTTGCCTAATAACCTATCTCTGTCAATGCATTTCTCATCTGTATATTTTGTTACACACATTCTTCAATTTACACATTACTGCACTTCCACATAATGTGTACACTAGTGTACTCTCCATATGTACAAGAGCTTCTCATCCAAATTTGACCATTGTGTTGTTGAATAATCTGATGCTACGAAATGGAGGAGTGGGTGGTAGTTGATTCATTTTTGGCAGTGTTGTATCTTATTTGGTTAATTTTGAACTGATAACGCTAGAATTTCCTGAGCTGACACAGATGATATGGTATTGAAAGTAAACTGAACCATGGCATTTCCCTGAATTGCTGCTTTTCCCTGAGAGAGAATTCTCAAACTGAACAAACTACCCTTTTGCAGTGTGAGTAGGACTGAACGGAGTGGAAGGTACGGCTCTATCATAGATAGAGAGGATCGGGATGATCGGGACTCTAGAAGCAGGCGAAGGGATTCTGATTACAAGAGATCCAGTGAGGAGCGCAGGAGCGAGAGATATGACGACAGCCGGGACTATGACAGCCGGGACTATGACAGCCGGGACTATGACAGCCCTGAGGTAAGTGAAAACATTTGCATTCACTCAGACTGTGAGTGAATTTTTTAATAGTGTTCTGATAACACAGTAATTAGCATAGTATAGATCTTGCCACTTGTCTGTAGTAATCAATGAAATGTCTTGCCATTGCAAGTACTAATCAGATACACAATTAACTTGATTAAGTGTCTTAGTTGGATATTTTCTGTTTGGCTAAGAGTCCAAGGTAGCTGACAACAGAAAATACAACACAATTCTACCTTCCTGTAAACAGGCAAAAATTGAGGATCATAAGTAACATATCTAGCAAACTATTAGTGGTGAAATGTACTGGCCTGAAAAGTTATTGATGAGCATCCAATTTCTTCAAAACTTGTAACCCTAAATATAGTAACACATTCTTATTCTTGATTTCATAGAATCATAGAATATCAGGGTTCGAAGGGACCTCAGGAGGTCATCTAGTCCAACCCCCTCCTCAAAAGCAGGACCAATCCGCAATTAAATCATCCCAGCCAGGGTTTTGTCAAGCCTGACCTTAAAAACTTCTAAGGAAGGAGATTCCACCACCTCCCTAGGCAACGCATTCCAGTGTTTCACCACCCTCCTAGTGAAAAAGTTTTTCCTAATATCCAACCTAAACCTCCCCCACTGCAACTTGAGACCATTACTCCTTGTCCTGTCCTCTTCCACCACTGAGAATAGTCTAGAAGCATCCTCTCTGGAACCACTTCTCAGGTAGTTGAAAGCAGCTATCAAATCCCCCCTCATTCTTCTCTTCTGCAGACTAAACAATCCCAGTTCCCTCAGCCTCTCCTCAGAAGTCATGTGTTCCAGACCCCTAATCATTTTTGTTGCCCTTCGCTGGACTCTTTCTAATTTATCCACATCCTTGTAGTGTGGGGCCCAAAACTGGACACAGTACTCCAGATGAGGCCTCACCAATGTCAAATAGAGGGGGACGATCACGGCCCTCGATCTGCTCGCTATGCCCCTACTTATACATCCCAAAATGCCGTTGGCCTTCTTGGCAACAAGGGCACACTGCTGACTCATATCCAGCTTTTCGGCCACTGTCACCCCTAGGTCCTTTTCTGCAGAACTGCTGCCTAGCCATTCGGTCCCTAGTCTGTAGCTGTGCATTGGGTTCTTCCGTCCTAAGTGCAGGACCCTGCACTTATCCTTATTGAACCTCATCAGATTTCTTTTGGCCCAATCCTCCAATTTGTCTAGGTCCCTCTGTATCCTGTCCCTGCCCTCCAGCGTATCTACCACTCCTCCCAGTTTAGCATCATCCGCAAATTTGCTGAGAGTGCAATCCACACCATCCTCCAGATCATTTCTGAAGCTATTGAACAAAACCGACCCCTGGGGCACTCCACTTGACACTGGCTGCCAACTAGACGTGGAGCCATTTCCTGGCAGAACTGATAGGTTCACTTTTATGGAGAAGGCATTATGAGATGATAGAAACCAAATCTGGTTTTAAACAACCACTTCAGAGCATCCCTAAGGTTTCCAGTACAGTTTTTATTAGTCGTGTAAGACCCACTCTCCTCAGGAATGGAATTTCGCTAGTTACTTAAGATACATCTCTTACTATTTCTTTGGAATTACCGTCTGATTGCAAATTAAAGCTCCAGGTCTGCTGGAGCTTGTTCCAGTTTTGTTAGGATTTCTTTTTCTGTATTGGGTGATAAGGTTTCTCCATTAGCAGTGTGCATGTTTGCTAATCTGGATATTCACTCACCAGAGGGACAGGGAGAGGGAGCGTGAGAGACGGAATAGTGATAAATCAGAAGATGGGTACCATTCTGATGGTGACTATGGAGAGCACGACTACAGGAATGACATTAATGATGAGAAAGAAAGCAAGACCATCATGTTGCGTGGTCTTCCTATCACTGTTACAGAAAACGATGTAAGTATCCAGAGAAAATGGCTTTGCTTACCTAGGCTACCAAGAGATCCAAATTGGTTTGGTTTACTTATGTCTAAGGCTAAGATTTTTGTCATGGTAATTTTAATAAAAGTCATGGGCAATAAACAAAAATTCACGTAAGCTGTGATCTGTCTGTGGCACTTGCTGCTGTGGCTCCACTGTTTTTCCTGCCGCCTTGGTGACTGGGAGCTGTGGGGTTCTGCCTCTACCCGCAGCAGCTGGGAGCTGCAGGGTAACCGTATTTCCCAAGGAGAAAACGGGACACCTCCAGCAGCTCGCCTGAGGGGGGCCCCCCTTTCCCCCTGCGCAAGGCTGTCACCCTTTGCTGGAGCCCTGAGAAGGGCCCCCCTCAGGAGTCTGTCACCTGTCGCTGGAATGTTGCAGGGGGCCCCTGCTGGCTGCCAGCTCCAGAGTCCAGCAGCCCCTGGGGATGAAGCAGAGAATGTCAAGGAGGTCAGGTGACATCTATGACATAAACTTAGCCTTACTTATGCCATATTAAAGGTACAATTTATCACTGCCTCTTTCCTGAAGGTTGCAAAGATAACAATCCTATCTTGAAGGGCTGGTTAATATTTCCATTATTAACCTTGGATTTTGAAGGGGTTTAAACTGTAGCTGTTGTATATTAAATAAGTGAAAGGGTCAGCTAAGGCCATGTG